CAATACATTTCCATTTATAAATGACTTCTGTCTCGAATTAACCGATTGATTCAATAACCATAATTTTCATTATACAGTGTGTCCCTAGACCAGTGGGACAGTTGAATATCTCGTGAACCGATAGGAATTTTCGAAATATTATGATTCCACATCATATCGCATCATGATTGCAAACTTCAGGAATGACTAAATTTTATACGAGGGGCGCAAGAAAGGCTCACAAAATCGAACATCAATTTTTTCAAATGGAACACCCCATATATTTCAACATATCTGAATTCTCATTCCCTCAGGCTAATTATCAGTTTTTTATTTTTGAAAATCCGACAAGGCGTTGCCATAACTTGGCACCAGTATTTCAGGAAATGCAGATTTTTTTTTATACCGAATAGACAAATCCATTATTCCTACTACTGAGAATTTATGGAATCATTCAAGACTGTTGGTAGTCGGTGGCATATTCTATCATATGAAATACTCATCTTCTTCGAAAGTAATAGAGGGTGGTCAGAAATATTATATGATTTTCAGGAAATTCAAACTTTCCTCACATCAATTTTTCAAATAGTGCACCCTACAATATGTATGATTTTATATCCCATTGGTGGTTTGATTGCTTATGGACAATATATGTAAAAGAGAGATGTAAATTTCATCATCAGCAAATGCAAATGAAAAATGCAGTAAACTATTCATTCAACTGTACTTAACTACTAAAAAAAAACAGTCCCAAAAAGAAAAAACTGACTTGATTTTTATATAAATGTTCGAATTGCCTTCCGTTTGCTGCAAGGCACATTTCAAAATTTTTCATCATATGATATAAAATTATACATATTGTAGATTGCACTATTTGAAAAATTGTTGTGAAGAAAGTTTGAATTTCGTGAAAATCATATAATACTTCTGTCCACCCTGTATAACTTTCGAAGAAGATGAGTATTCCATATGATTGAATATGCTACCGACTACCAATACAGTCTTGAATGATTCCATAGATTCTCAGTAGTATGAATGATGGGTTTGTCTAAAAAAATGTCTGCATTTCATGAAACACTAGTATAACTTGGCAACGCCTTGTCGGATTTTCAGAAGAGAAGAACTGATAATTAGCCTAGAGGGATGAGAATTCAGATATGTTGAAATATCTGGGGTGTTCCATTTGAAAAAATTGATGTTCGATTTTGTGAGCCTTTCTTGCGCCCCTCGTAAAAAATTTAGTCTTTCCTGAAGTTAGCACTCATGATGCGATATGATCTGGAATTATAATATTTTGAAATATCCTATTGGTTCAGGAGATATTCAACTGTCCCACTGGTCTAGGGACACAATGTATATACATTAAGTACTTCCTGAGGTTTTATTTGTATATTCAATACCAATATGTATACTTTCAATTTATCTTAGGTCAACATTTTGAATAAATTTATGTTATTACTATTAAAGGGGTAAGGAAGGTCATATGAACATTGTGTCCCTACTAACTTTGTTTTTGAGGTACAAGATTGTAACCTTGAAATTAACCCGAGGGTCCAAGGTCTTCGGCTAGCGTTTCAGTGGAGATGGGAGGGTTCGATAAATGGGCGCCAGGTAATTCAATTACCTCCACTAACACCCAATGTGCACGTCACAGACTACCACAAATTACCAAGTGGTAGTCTATCAAATCTAAGGTGGTATGGGCCAACAAATGAAAATAAATGCAAGACAGTTCCTTAAGAATTCCCCATTTAATGAAACTCACAAGTAAAAAACCCTATACAGAGGGGATGCGGTCACCCTTATGACCTTCAACCAAAATAAACAAACAATGGCTAAGTTAGTTTGAAGTTACTGAACCATTCCGCGAAGCGTTCAGGAGAAAAGAATAATTCAAGTAGGGTGCGGGGTAAATGCGTCGCTTGAGCTCAGGCGCATGCGCAGATATTCATAAACCCTAATGGTAGCTTATCGTTTCGCAGAACAGGTACAAGTCATTTAAATATCATAAACATAATAATCAAATATCCCGGTTGAGCAAATTCATAAGGGAGAGGTCATTAGAATGGGGAGAGCACAAATAAATTCAACAACACTTCAACATAAAGTCAACATCACCAAAAATCCCTCGGCGACTGCAGAATCAGGACCACCCTGTATAGCCCTAGTCCGGGCCACCCTGTATAGGCTCTAACTGGTTCACCCTGTATAGAGTCCACGTGATCCACCTGGTAGGGGCTTCACATGGGACACCTTATGTAGACTACGATTGGGCCACCCTGTATATAGTCCTCACCGAGTACTTGGGGTTGACGAACCCGAGGAAATCTTGGTCCCAGAACCAAACCCGCAACTAAAACCCCTTAAAATCGGGGTTTCTTTTTATCAGGCACCAGAGTTTTTCCAGGTTTTCCAAAGTGACCAACCTAGCCTCTAGACAGTGTCCAATCTAGCTTCTAGAGTTTCAGACAGTCCTATTTGACGGATGATCGGAAATCTAGCCAGTCCCTAAGGCGCTGCAATCAGGACTTCTCCATCTCGTCAATTACTTCACGATGTCCAGTGAGGTTATGGAATGTTGCGGCGACAATATATCCTCACAAGAGAAAGATTTGGGTCATCGATCAAAAATTTCAACACACGTTGAATCACACAAATTATCACTACCCAAATCACTAAATGGCGGCCTCAGAACATAATCCTAATTAAAGATGATTATGAAAATCAAATATAATTCTGAAGACGCCAGTCAAACGCAATCAAGCCACTTTTCAGAGAGCGAGAGAGAGAGCTAACGAGAGACAGAACACCCACTTAAAGTCATCCACTGGTCATCGATTCAAAATTACCTGGGACGATCCCTTTAGGGACAGAATGCAAGGAGAGAGGGCGCAGCAGATAAAGGTATGTCCACGCCTGCACGAATCAATTTCACAGTATCAGCAGAGTACTGTTGGAAGCATTTCTGAATGCATAAAAAGATTGTACAGCCTCATTTGATAAATGCGACTGAATGACCCAAATAAATATTTCAATTACTGTCGTGTAACGTGCCTTCAATTTGATGAACTTCCATCAATGGTGGGACCAGAAATAAAGAAATTATATATGTCAACAAAACCCTTATCTCCAGTATATTTTGGTCGCCTGAGTATTAACGTCGAATTCTGTTGGGAATTTCATATTTTGCGATTCGCATAAATTTCGCGGAACCCGCACAAGCACGAACACACCTTAATCCGCGTCATTTCTGTGTCATACCGCACCTTACCCTACCCCACAATTTCTACACTTCGTGCAAGAGGTACTGTTCCCTGACTGACAGCACGAGGGCGCGCGAGAACGCACGAGAACCGATGATCACCTAAAGGAAGAACAGCTCCGAGACCGCTTCCAGCTAACTTTACTTGAGTAATATAACCCGAAAATTCCAAACAACGTAAACAATAATACAGTGCCCACGGCCCCACTTTTATACCAACAATTCAATCAGTGCAGGACGTAGCGATCGTTCATTAGATCTTTATCACAATAGAAGTCAGATGGACTGAAAGGTATGCTAAACATTGTCTCGCTGCTCCCAGTGGATATTGAATCGGCCAACTGATTACTAAGTTGCTAAGAAATCAAATGATGTATCTTCCCAGTGAATATCCAGGTAATTGATGGAGGTAGGTTACTTATCGATGTGTTTAATTGAGGATATATACCTAACGTAGAAAATGAACGTTACAAATCCCCCCCCTACTTCAAGAAATTTGCCCGCAAATTTTTCCCTAGACTCAAAACAAACTAAAATTC